GCAATCCTCCTGCCTCTTGGCTTCCTGAGTGCTAAGATTATAGGACTATGCCACTATACCTGGCTTTTAATTACATTTTTGACACTCAATTAATTTTTATTCCTGTCTCTAGAATTTGCACTTATCATAGATATTTAAAGTAGTTTCACCCGGAAATCATCAACAGGCAGTAGGTGTGTTTATGGTAGATTACCAAAGGAGTTGTAAAATGCATTAATTATTGTTCACTGTACCACAATTTAAAACAAGACTTTCTTCCTACTTAAGCATTCTAGAGACAGGATGACTGTGTAAGAAGTAAAATAGTATTTTAAGATATAGTAAGGTTCTTTTTTTTGCTATAACTTGCCAATCTTAAATATTTCTATTGTGACATTTATAAACGGATATTAAAATTTGATACAATATATACATAATTTATAATGCAGTCACACACCTTCGAACAGATATATATATATATATACATATATATATGTATATATATATATATATATCTGACTTAACATAGTGGCATACAGCTTTAATACCAAGCAGATGCAGGTGGCTCTCAGTGAGAGTGGGTCCAGCCTGGTCTGCATAGTGAGTTCCAGGCCAGTTGGGGCATTGCTGAAAGTAATATAAACATCATGAATGATTTAAAATGAAAAGCACCCACTTATAGCATAAGAAAGAAATGAAGAACCTTGTGAGGTATTAACTAAAGACCCCCTCACCCCCAAAACTTTTCAAAGCACGTTAATTAAACAACACATGGGACACCCCTGGTCATTGTTCTGAGGCACATGAGCCCTGATTTCCTTTCAGAGTCTGACAAAAGCTGAGACTCTCAAACACACATCTGCTGCCTTACCTCTGTGCCTGAGTTATACTTCTGTGGGCTGCCAGGGAGATGCTGTTGCAATAAAAACAGTCCAAGTGCTTTGTTCCTTAGTTGGAAGAGCCACTCAATAGTTGCCCTAAGCATTTGGGCAGATGAACCAAAATGGTGCCCTTTGTTCTACCGCATCAGTTCAGCTACTATGAAATAGTCATGCTCGTCCATCTACCTCCTGTGTGCAGTCCTACTGAATTCTTGAGATTAAAAAACCCAGTTCCAGAGGGCGAAGAGCGAGAAAAAAGAAAAAGGAAAGAAAACATCTTGGTTTCTCCAGAAAGTTTTTCAAAATTCCCATCAGCTGGGAGAACTGAGGCTTGTATACTGAGTGACATCATTGCGGTTCTCTGGTCTGCCTATCACTTTTTAGTTAACACTGCATTTCTTCAGGGTTTAAATTCTGTTTTTTTAAAAAAATTTATTACTTTTATTGTATGTGTATGACTCTATTTCCTGCATGTGTGCAAATGTACCCTTGTCGTGCAATGGCCACGGAGATCAGAAGAAGGCATTGGATCCCTTCGAACTGGTTGTTAACCATCATGTGAGTGCTGGGAATTGAACCTGGGTCCTCTGCAAGATCAGTTAGCGCTCTTAACTGCTGAGGCCTCTCTCCAGCCCTAAACTCCCTCTTTTAAAGCTCATTAAATGTCTGCTTAATTCAGCACTGCACTGTGCCCTCTGAAAGGGACACTTTCACAGGAGGGGGATGAATCTACCTAGCAGCTCGTCTTATTTGTAGACCATTCATCAGGGTGGGACTGAACTTCCTACAACTGCTGATAGACACATACTTCATGTGGAAAGGATTTGCTTATCTCATCTGTTTTAAGGATATAATGAAATGGAAACATGAAATTCTAGAACACAGTCTGTCACATAATAGGTGCTTAGCAATGATTCCTTTCCTTCTGCTTAGGGCTCCAGCCTGCCCCCTCTGTTTGTTTAATAGTTGATGCCTGATTGTTCCTCCTGTTCTTCCTTTTATCTTACAGGATAAGAAGGAATTTCTAATATGCCTTTTTCTCCTAGCTTCGGAGGCTGGTTGGGTTTCAGCACTGAGCCTGTAAGTAGAAGACTACAGGGAGCAAATGACAGCACCGCAAAGGTTGGCTGCAGGTGTCCTCAAGTCGTCGGCCAGCTTCCTAACTGGGATTTTGGGTCTCTTATCTGTAGGGTCTGTTGTGTGACCCACCATGTCAGGACGCCTCAGTTTTATTTAGAAAAAAAGAGGCCTAGAGCCAGGAAACAACGAAGCAGCTAATGACCACTTTAAAGGCCCAGGTTTTGGGGTTTAAAGTCCAGCTTTGTCACTTTATTTCTGGGAAATCTGCATGGTTTTTGTTTACAGTTTCCTTATCTGTAAGCTTGGGCAACCAGAAAACCCAGGTGGCTCTTGCTGGTTAATCTCAGCACTTGGGGGGTGGGGTGAGCAAGTTGGAGGCCAGCTACAAGAGACCCTGTCTCAAAAGAAAAAAAGCTAGCTTATAAAAAACTAAATATAAAATGTAAACCACATGGCCCAACTCTAGGCACTCAGTTACACGAGCTTACAATCATCAAACATCTCTTTACTTTTTAAGTATGCCAACATAAAGTGCCTAACATTTAGACAAATTGAAGAGTGCAACCTCCCAGGCCCGGGGTGGAAATCCACAGTTCGGCCAGTCAGCACTGGATTCCTAGTGGGCACGACAGTTGCCATTGCTGAATTACTCTCTAGAAAAACTTCAACACTGTAGAAAAACCCCGATATTCCAATTTAGTCCTTCAGTTTCTTTACCCGTCTTTTCTCTGTGACAAGCCTAAAATGCTTCAGTAATTAAAACCAAACAAAACCACTAAACAACTAAACAGGTGCTTATGTCTTTTTGATCACCAGACTTCAGATTTCGCACTGAAAAGGAGGCCCAGCGTCTGCTGCACCTGCTCCTGGATCCGCAGGCTCTTGGCCTCCTGGCCCCCGCGGCCGCTGCTGCTAAAGTGTATGAAAACCTATTTTCTCCTGGGGCTTTAATGTTTTGGTGAGACCAGCCCTGCACCCAGGCATGCACTGATTCTGGTGGTGGTGTGTGGGTGTAGACAGGCAGCTAGTGATCCAGAGCAGGGTAGTGCTAGGTGGGCGGGGCTGTCGCCAGCCAGGCCAAAGTCTTCTTCCTCCTCGTCCCCCTCCTCCTCCATCTCCTCTTCCCCTCGGTCCTCCGCAGGGTGGTGCGGTTGCTCCCAAGCCCAAAGTCTACTTAGCTAATTTGTTCACCTCCTAGAACAAGGGCTCGACGCGGACCCTGGGTGGAGCGCTGCTAAACCACCCGGGCGAGGTGGCCCTACCCCAATTTACAGGATGTAGGCGCCGCGGGGCTTTCAAGGTTTTCTTTTTCAAAATGTTTATGGAGGGCCACGAACTCTAAAACATGTAAGTAAAAGCTAAAAGCGCATTCATCCAGAAAAAAAAAAAAAGCCACACCAAAAGTCTGCGTAGAATTTCAGCGTTTCTAGAATCTGCGGCTGCACAGATTAAATTCCCTGTACCTGGGAGATGAGCACGGGCCGAGGGTGAGCAAGGGGAAATCTTCGACGGACTTTAGTATTTACTATGCAGATGGACGGATACGGTAAAACTGAGCAAGAGGTTACGGGAAACGAAATCGAGCTTTCGCTAAGTAAAACCGGCCAGAGTCGGGACGCGCCTCGAGTGTCAGGATGGGAGCGGCCACAGGTGGGCAGACACCTGCACCGCGGGGCAGGGCGCCGGGCGGGCAGGGCGCGGGGGGCGGGG